TCTCCAAATTATTTCTCATTCTTCTTAGTATGGTCAAAGTTTATGCATTCAAACTTCATACAACTCCATATCTTCATGAATCATTTGTGCATGTCAATTATTGACTCCAATCCTACTTCAAATGGCACAAATGATGCTTAAAATCATGAAGCTCATTAAAATTATGCGTGCATGTGAATTTTGATGCTCAATCCTTCATGTGTCATACTCAATTGAACATAATCATGGTGAATGCAACATGCATGTATATACAACTCCAATTTCATTACATTCAACTCAATTCTTGCCCTTAGACACATATCATTCTTGAATTCACTTGATTATAAATTTAAACTCATGAATTTGAGCTCAATTACTCACCTAGGAGCTTCAACTCTTCCTATTATAGCCAATTCTTGAGCTAATCCTCCTAGTTTTTTGAATTCACTTGCAAATCCCCAAGGTTGAGCTCCTTCTCTCTAATTCGGCTCACTCTCTCCCTCTAGAGTGTATTCTCAAAATTTTTGAGCTCATACATGTGAATTAGGCCCTTAATTAGTGTATATATATAGGTTTCACTAATCATATTGGCTAATTAAGGCTTAGGCCTAATCAATTGAACATAATTAAATCAGATTAATCTAATTATTTTGATCCGAATCAATTTTTAATTAAACTTTGCTGTAGGCTCTAAAAATCATGTCGAATGTACATTTCAGTTTCTGTCACCTCTACGGTCTTCAATTTAAATCTTATAACAAAAACTCAAACAGATTTTTCTACAGTGAACAGATATAAATTCACAAACACATATAATCATATAATTAGCATTCAAAATCATATCAAGCTCATAATTACAAGCATAATTAAGATGAATTAACATAACACAGAGTAAGGTTGTCACAATTGGCGTAGTCCACCTTGTAGCTCAGTAGGAAGTACGAATGGGGAATTCAAAAAAATATCTGACTCTGGTGCATGCTGAGCTTCTCTATCGTGGCTTTCCAACTACTCTTGAAGAAAATGTCTTTTGCGGCCTCACATTGTTTGATATACACTTCCTTGCCTTCTTTGAAGCCGCGCTCCTTAACATCCTCCATTTGCTTCCACAGTGCCTTTATCTCGGCATCTTTCTTTTTCTCCAGCTTGGCCAACTCTCAAAGGTAATGGTCCTTTCTTTCGACCAAAGCTTTTTGTTTGTCTTCTTCAACAGCACTAAGCAACTCGGCTAGGTGATCGTGGTCAGTGCTCAAATCAGCAAGCTTTGTTTAGAGCTTTTTAAGCTCGGCTTCTTTGGCCCTTCTGTTTGCAATGGCCACCTTGGTTGTCCTCCTTAATTCGAGCATGCATTGATGGGTGATCTGGTTCTTTTGCATGGCCTGCAGAGCATATGTGATATATTTGATAGACCGAGCGGCAAGCTCATGGCAACACCATAAGGTGTGGAATTCAGGATTACCAGAATCAGCAACTTATTGGTGGATCGTATCGCCTTCAGCTCGGTTAGATGCACATGGTGCTCCATATCAGTTGGCAGGAAGACACTCTTGGCCAAATTAAATGCCAGAAGATGGTCGTTTTTTGCACAAACAGAGTCCGCCGTAGTCATAGTGCGACCCTTGAAAGACACAACTGGTGTCCACGCCGGAGTGGGAGACGATGTAGCTTGGCGTCCACCTGGGGATCGTTCGCGAAGTGTGGCCGCAGGCTGCTCGGTTTCTTCCTCATCCGTTAAACACTCTGTCTGAGTTGCCGAAGTACTAGGCCTCTTGCTTGGCCGAGATGATAAACCTCTGGCGGATGGAAGGGCGACCACGGTCTTGCATACCTAACTGGTTGGCAACAGCTCAGTTTGTGCCTCAATATTGAAGGCTGAAGTCTGTTCGGTAATAAAGGCTCGTACAACTCACTTTTTTGCCATCTCTTGCTCTTCAGTTAGAGGAATGAGATTGATTTTGGGGAGATTGGGATCCAGTTTGGGAGATGATTCGAGAAGGAAGTTTGTGACCATCGTCTTCCTTTTACCACTATACCGATAGGTCGACTTAAAATTTAAGAGCTCGGCCCAATCTCAGTGGTAGTATCGAAGTGCGGCGCGAAGGGCATCTTGATTCGTGTAGGCATAAGTAGTTTTTAGGAGGTTCAAATCTGCAAAAGAGGAAACAAGGGTTAGCACGACATGAATATACGAAATAACAAAAGAAACGGACCGAACGATCCTTACCAGCTACCCCTTTATTCCAGTTGATATTTCTGCCTGGTATTGGGGCTCCATTGTCCTCAAAATTTTCACTAACCTAGAGAAAGTCATCATCATTTAAATTCTTGTCTGGCGTGCGTTTAATGATTTTCTCTCAACCTTTTCTAATTCTCAGGTAGTTGACCCAACCATCCTCATTTTGGCCAAGCGAATATTGGTGGAATAGCTCGGCCAATCCGAGGTTAAAGTCGAGGTGGCGATTTAGCTCGACTATGCCATTGATTATTTTATAAGTGTTGGCGGACAATTACGCGGGGCATAATTGGGTTTGTCTAAGGAACTCTCAAATAAGGGGCTGCACGGGGAATCGAAGCCCGCCCTCAACAATAGATAAAAGGGTGAAAGGAACAAAACCGGGCTTGTCCCATAGTGTGACATCCAGTTCAGCTAACATGAGTTGAACATCATCAGGGACATTGTATTCCCTTCGGAACTCGATTATGGCATCGGGTGAACTCACGAGGAACCGACATTTGCCCATGGGTGTGTCCTTAGTTTGTTTATAAATATCTGCTAGGCTCCTTAGCCCGATGTTGTGGTGAATGGTGTGCCTGGATAAAACCTAGTCAAAGTCAGTGAAGAACATAGAATGTGTTATGGCCAAGCTAGTAACAGGGCTAAGGCATCAGTGTAAATTAGTTTACTTGGCTAAAAATTGAGACAAGGTTTTAGCCTGATCCTGAGAAAAGCTCAAATTTTAGCACGGTCTATGTATAGAGCCAGGCGGAAGCACGGTCATGTTTAGATGATGTTTTCCTAGTTCAGTGAGACATATCTAAGTGAGCACAAACCAGTTTGTAGCTCTGTTTCAACACTATTTTGGATCAAAACCAAAATTCTTGTGTGCTTTAAATTCCCATCGAAGGGGGGGAGTTCTTTCTAAGGTGTGGAGTTTTTGGAAGTTAATGCAGTTCTAAGTTCATTTTTATGCACGTAACAAAGGCTAAAAGTACTATTGCAGTATCATTGATGGGTTCATAGTCCAAGAACATGAGGAGTCATATGGAATGCACGAAAGAATGTGAAACTTACGAGTTTTTGAGTGGAGAATGTGGCACAGATCAACAAATGGCGTTACAACGACAGTATTGAGTTTGATTTGATGACGAAAACAATGGTACCAAGGCTTGAATGCAGACAAGTGTAGGATTGGAGCTTTGATTATAGAGATTGGGGAGGTTAGAGGATGAATAGTAAGTGATGACTGTTTGAAATTAAGGGGCTGTGTTTATAAAGGAGGCAAAACGGCAGGCCTTTTCAAATTTTGGGTAAATGTGAGATGGCTATTACAGTACGAAGGGAGAATCGACGCATGACACGTGTCACAATAAGGACATGATGTCAGATACGTGGGACGACGGACTATACGATCGGCGCGGTTTCTGGAAACCGAGTTACCTTCTGGCGGGCGCATTGTAGCTCGGTTGGGCTGAACATTTTGGTTCGGTCGCTTTGAATATCTTAGCATGGCTTGAAAAGACTAATCCTAATCATGCTACGTAGATCGAATTAAGGGGCAATTGAGAGGGTAATTTGTGAACAAATTGAGCCGAGCTAAAAAGAGTCTTCTTTGAAAGTTGGGCTGCATAATGGGTCGAGGTAAGAGCTGGTGTAGCTCGGTCTTGGGCTAACAAGCTACTAGGCCGATTGCCAGGGCCTGAACCTAGTTATCTGAAGGTGGTCCTTTATCAAACCGAGATGTTGTCAACAAAGAGGGCTGAGCTATGTGAAGCTCGGTAGGGTGTCATTCGGTAAATTGGCTTCCGGTCACACGAACAAAGCGATACTGGACTGAGATAAGGCAGCTTGATCGCGAATGTATATCCGGGCATGAGGATATGACCATCTCACTTGGTTGGTAGTGATGAGAGTGTTATTAGGATAGACATTATCTTCAGGAGTGTGATTCCTATGAGGACTCTGCTAAGAAGAATTGCAGTCCTACTAGGATTATGCCAGATGGAATCTATAAACGATCATGACAGGACCTATGCATAGGTATCACAATTCTTAATTTCAAATACACAAAGCTTATTGTCTATTGTCTATTTTGCTGACTTAGGCATTGGATGAGTTTCTGACAGACACCCGGCGGCTAGCTCAGGTTTGTGTTTTCAGGTAGCCAAGCGACAACGTTTGGAGGAGTGCAAACTTAATCAATAGGATTATACAAGAAGATTATTCTGTGCTCGTACATCATTAAAGGAAGAAATTAGAGACAAAAGTATTTTGTGATAAATATAAGAAATATAGACGAAATAATTTTATCATGTTTAATATAAACAAAGACAAAAAAAAATTGTCAAAGAAGTTACCAATAGAGACAAAAACAAATTCATCATTAAAAAAGATGAAATAATGTCAAAAAAAATTCATCACACATTGAAGGTAATAGTGACAAAATGTGACAATATTTTTTATCATGACAAATTCATTTAGTAACGAAATAAAGAATTCATGACATAATTAATCATCCACCTAAGCCAAATAAGGGACAGAAAAACCTTATTTAGGGATGAAAAATTTTGTCACTAATTTCATAATATTTTTTTCCACATTATATACCTATTTTATCAAAATCTGAATTTTAGTTCAACAAATATATCCTTGTTCATGTTGAAACCTATTTAATATAATAATTCCATCACAACTTAACGTAACCTACTATCAACACATTTACGAATTAACAAAATGAAAATATTCATTCATCATTACAAATAATTTAATCCTAATACAATAAAATAATGCAATATCCACAAAATATCCAAAAGTTATAACTAATGCAATTCCACCAAACATTCAATAATAACTAGTGCAACTCCACAAAGTATGTGTATCCTTATCAAACAAAAATGAACATTCATGCAAATTACATCATTGTTGCACGTCAAAAATGCCACCATAATCCAATTTGCAAAAAAATAAATTAAAAGCTTTAGTAACTAATCAATTATACAAAAGATTAAAAACATTAGTAATCCAAACAAAAATGAACATTCAAGCAAATTACATCATTGTTGCACGTCAAAAATGCCACCCTAATCCAATTTGTAAAAAAATAAATTAAAAGCTTTAGTAACTAATCAATTATACAAAAGATTAAAAACATTAGTAATCCAAACAAAAATGAACATTCAAGCAAATTACATCATTGTTGCACGTCAAAAATGCCACCCCAATCAAATCTGCAAAAAAATAAATTAAAAGCGGTAGTAACTAATCAATTATACAAAAGATTAAAAACATTAGTAATTAATCAATTTACAATTAGATCAATTATACAATTTATCCCTCTAATAGACTTTTTTTCGAGATTATGGGAACAAAAAATTAATTTTAAAGCTAATTCACAAATGGTGCATCCCACTAATGTGCCGTAAGTTCATACAATTTATGTTGGTCCCTCCTAAGGTGTTTCTGTTGGTTCCTGTACAAATCTATGGTTATGTGATAATTTAGCTTTTCGACGGCCTTTTTTGAAGCTTTAAGTATGGAGAAAAAGTATTTTTAGACTAATTCACAATTTATACATCCCGTACACCTGTACAAATTGGATGTCCTATGCATGTTTCCATTATTTCCTAATTCTTCAAACATATATTCTTTTATAAAATTTGTTATATTAAAGTTAATATACGTTACCAAGAAGTATGTCCACTTGTGGATGAGTCCTATCCACTTCCAAAGTGTCCAGTGAATCCTTTGCTCCTCAGAAAGTTGACGACATCTATCATTATCACCCCCTGCTTCTTCTAACCCTCTTCAAGATCTTCTATTTTATTATTCTGCATTTGTATTTGTTCCTTCTGTGTCTCTATTTGCATCTCAAGGCGCTTCACATAATCACTTGTTTCAGCATATATGGTAGTGGTCCTCCTAATAGAGGATAAAGGTCTCATGCCAAGTCCCTTCACATAACTAGACCTTGGCTTTAGGACTTTGACTGACAGCTCTTCTGCAGTCAAAGCGATTGATCCTGGCTATGAGAGTTGATTAGCCTTTGTCTGTATCATATTTTCCTATCAAATATTAAAATATTAAATAATTATTAGAAAATTAAATAAGATTATAACAAATAATATTTTAAAATTTTATTAATAAAAATTGCAATATATACTCACATAATTACACTGAGCTTTAGACGAGATCCAGTCATGTGTTTTCTCGTTATAATGAGTTTCCTTGTAAAACTCTGTTAGATTAGGTAACATCTTCTTTTCTCGTGCCTAATTTGATAGACGAAATATTCAATAAATAAAGCTAAGAATCTAATATAATTCTTAAAGTGCAAGGATACGTACCAGTTTTTCTACTCTAACAGGGATTGACCTAGAACCACACCTATATATTGTATTCATCTTTTCTCTGTTCACGATGTTGGCTTTTGATGTTCCTATAAGGAAGAATGGCCAATATAACAATGAGATGTATCATTAGTAAGATAGATATGTTGGCTTTTGATTGTTCTTGTAAGGAAGAATGAACCAATATAACAATGAAATATATCATTAGTAAGACAAATTTAATGCTTGATAATAAAAGAATTGCATTGTTCCTCTCTTTCCTTTTCCTATATATCATTTCAACTTAAAAGATATTTTAAATTATTCACTAGTATCATTCAATTCTTTGAAAAATAGATTAGAGGACTTGATGAGATTTCATCATAAGATGGTTTTTTTGGGTAAAAAAAGAAACACGAGAAATTTACACCGTTCACAAATAGGGGGCATATAAGCATGGGCCAGATAGATTGTGAAAAAATCCATTTACATTTCACAAGATATGGAACAATTACTGATACTAAGCTCATCATTTCTTTCTTCCCCCACTCTATCAAATCTAAAGTTCTGTCTCAATACCCTGTATTAGTTACTCAGCTACCATTATCATGAAACTTCAGACCAAGCCCAAGAACAAACAGGAAATACATTCATAGAAACTGAAATCTTAGTTTTTTATTCTAAGATGTGAAAGGTGCACTTTAAGAAACCATAAATTAATCTCCTATTATGTGAGCCTTCCAATCCATGTTTACTAGTTTCCCTTTCTCATTTTCCCACTTATTTGGTTTTTATTATGTTTCACTTACATGCCTAGAAGCTAAAGGGAAAAGAATACATATAGAATTTCATAGCAAATTGATTGTGTTCTTTCTAGTTTTTTTAGAATCTCTCCCTATTCTAATCAAATTCTTTCTTCACTGATATAATAAAAAAGATGAAAATGTTACCAAAAATTCTTTAGTGTTCCACTTTTTATCAATAAGATCTATCCACCTAGTAGGATCGATATCCTTCAGTGGTGGTTTCTTGCATACTCCTCCCCTTTAGCCTCTTTTAGCTCCATGAATTGTTTGTGCAACCTATAGGTATGGTTACTCAATCTCTGACCAAATTTTGTGTTCATTTCCTTTTCTATATCAATATGGTCTCCTTGTAAATCAAATTGATCCTATAAAACATAGATAAGTCATAGATAATTGCTATATAATAAAAAATTACAATAAATAATTAAGATTTCTAACCTAGTATAAAGATGAGTAAAATGTCCTATAACAGAGTAGATAGTGAACTTACATTCAAGCGTTGAAACATCGCCTCCTTAACGGAGGCATCAACATACTTCCACCTACGAGCGCTTGGATCTGGTAAACGTGTTCATACTTCTACACCAATTTTTGAGGCTAGTTTTGAGGAACAGTCCCCTACCGGTGCATGAAATTCTGGAGGGATAGGTACGTTAAACTTTTCATCTCTATCAACAATGCCTTGAACCTCTTTGTCTCGAGTCAGGCCACGAACACGCTTAGCAGCTGATATTGTGAAGCCATAATATTGAAATAGTATGTGAACAAATTTAATTAAGATCTCAAATCAATGTAAATAAATAGTGTGTCTTACCAATAGTATTATTAGTAGTCACCTCAAGTTGATCCTCCACATTGAGAGGTGGTGAGGGATGGCTATCCAACTCAGGAGGTGAAGAGGTATCCCCTCTTTTCTTATGCATGGGTCAATGCCTTTAAGATGAGATTGTGAATGGGCTCTCGATGGTATCTCTAACAACTGAATAACACAATAAAATATGAATATATGTACAAAGATATACATGTGTATATATATGTGTATGAATTGAAAGTAACAAGAAAGAATATATTTCACAATGCATAAATGTATAGTACCTCATGCTCAAACGAATCATAGGATTCAGTCTCATTGCCATCTTCAGCCTCTGACGGTCGATAATCATCATCACCATGGAGCAGCTGGATCTGACGAAGACAACGCCCTCGCAGAAGATCTAATCCGGCCAAATA